TTGCCCGTTTTTAGTATACTACTTTCTTTTCCGGTATTAGGCTTTTTCTAGCATCTATAAAACATTTTAAGTAAATATAGTCACGAAAAATTCATGCGAACGACCTGGTTGTCGTTTCTGTTACATCTGGCCTGCAATGTGACAGCCGCAAAGGTTGGTTCCATGGGGCGTGCAGAGATCTCACAGCTACTGCTTACAACAGACTCAGTAAGTCGGATCATAGGTGGGTATGTGTCACGTGCAACTCGTATGCTGAAGGTTTGTTGAGTAACGTCATTGTCCTTTTGACAGGTCCGCGGAATAAGTTATCAGCAGACTCGAGAAAAGACAGCCATAAAACGAGTAGACAAACAAGGACTCACAATGAAACCAAGGCGTGGGATCTCGACAGCACCACTATCGATGGAGCATGTAATGATACCAGTGATGACATGTCGAAACCCAGCACCATCATAACGTCAACGGTAATAGACTCCCTCATCGGACTTGGGTCTGCCAGCACAGGGTTCCTAAATGCAACAGTGGTTCCCAAAATCTCTGTGATTGGACCCCGTTTCCAAGGTTATAAAGGACCAGGTGTCACCCTTTAAGAAGCTGAACGCCCTAAGAATTGTAGGGAAATCAATTGATGGTTTGGAGGCAAAGTCTACCCTCAAGAATATCCGTCCAGTCTAGGAATCAGAAGCGCGCTTCTGCCTCCAAACAACATGGTCCTCAACCTGAACGTACCCAAAAACCTGGGAAGAAAATAAGGGTTCACAGTGATTTTCTCATAATCATGAACCTTAAAGGCAACTCTGACCTTCCCCTCAGTTTGCAAAACAAGCATGACAGGAGAGAGTTAAACTAGAAGCTTGAACTTCCTAGAATTGAGACTTTGACGGTCAAATAGCTCACTTTGAGAAAGGACTAAACATCAAAATCACCCGAGGCTACTACGTGTAACATTCGTTGATGCTGCCGAGTAGAGGATATCCTACTAGCTAGTCACCTACTGAAACCAGATGGGAACGTAAGAATACTGCCTGATATACCGTATTCTGAGCACAATCTCATCCGGAACATCCCTAAGGAATCTCGCAAGAAGTTTTTCCGCGGAAGAAATATCATTGTGCAAGGTTTACCGGAAAACATGGACCCTTGTCACACGAACCCTGATATTGGGGAATGAAAATTCATCAAACTATCCTTGAAGCTTAAAACATACTGACTTAACAAGTGACGAGACTAGCCAAGATTGACATCCCTTCAACAATAGGCTCTGGGGATTCAAACGGTTGAATGCGTCAGTTTTATGGGACTATCTAAAACAGTTGGGTTGGGTTGTTCACCCTCAATCTGATGTGGACGCTCATTAGGATTTATTACTGCACACGCTCTTATGTGCTAAAAAGCATTTTCTTCTGATGGTCCGTGAAATATACAAACAACCTACAGTCATCAAGAATCTCACTCTTCGTTTGCTAAACTGCAAAAGACACTGTTGGACAGAATACAAACGAACTGATAACAAACGCGCGTACAGGCAATACAAACATATAAGGAACATCTGCACAAAGGTGATAAGAGAAGACAGGCTTCAATACCAAATAAAACTTATCGATAAATTTGTCTTCAATCAGAAAAACTTATTCCATTATGCAGCAACAAGACTCGCGGATATTTCAACCGACCCACATTAACTATACTAATAAGAGGTTCATCTGCAACTGCACAGCACTTTCCGAAGTGAACGTGAGCGCTGACTTGGTGTACCAGAAACTGCAATACCTGAGAAAAGATACTTCTCCTGGCCCGGATATGGTTCATTCTGCTATACTGAGGGAACCAACTTCAATCCTGACAACACCGCCTAGTGTGATGTTCTCACACTCGTTAAGCCGAGGCAAACTCCAAAATTTGGAAGCTGGCTTACATCACACTAAAAGAGGTCGACGCAGTGAACCTTCAAGCTACTGACCAGAGTCCCTTCTATTTATACCATCGCATATCAATGCGACGGTATGCACGACTATTTATTATCCTTAAACTTGTTTTCACCAAAACAGCACGGTTTCAGGAAAGGTCATTCTTGCATTTTGATGGAGTTTTGTTCTCTGAGCTGGATGATTTGGTCGTGGAACTTTAATCGTTCTTCTGAACGACACCATCAGCAAAAACTTCAGATAGAAGTGAAGTGTTCGAATTTCTCCATATGCGTTTCACAGCTTGTTCTGTGCACCTCGATGTTGATTGTTTCTTATTGACCTTAAATTTGTCATTGCTTACTTTTTTGTCTTGGTTTTGTCTCCTATTGGTTTGATTCTTGTTCCTATATGTGTGCATAAGTTTCCTGATTGGTTGATAAATCGGATCGAATTCATTATGTTTGTTGATTGCTGATTGACCTGAGTGCCAGGCTTCTAAAAATTCTCTTGTGTTTTTAGAATTTCTTCTGTCCACGATTTCCACATTTTTCCAATCGAATGTGTGTCCGCAGTTGTCCACGTGTATTGATATAAGTGAGGAGATATCATGCCGTTCGACTGCTAGTTGATGTTCATGTATGCGCATGTGAAGGGGGCGTTTGCTTTGTCTGATGTAGTGTTTGTTGCTGTTGACACAATTTATTTTGTAGATGATGTTCGATTTATCTTCTTTTGTTATTTCATCCTTTGGTTTGCATAGGATTGACTGTAGTGATTTTGTTGGTTTGTGTGCCACACCTATCCCGAAAGTTTTTAGCAGTCTTGTTGCGGTTTCTGATATCCCATTTATGTATGATAGGGTGATCCGTTTGTTGATTTCTGTGCTTAATTTGTGCTCTGATGCTGCATGTGGTTGGTATTTTTTGATGAAGTTGATTAGGTAGCCATTCTTTTGAAATACTTCCTTCAGGTATTTCTCTTCCTTTCTTCGTGCTGCCAGTGTGCTGCAGTGTGTCCTCGCCCACTTAAACAAAGTTTGTACGCAGTTAATTTTATGTGCTATTGGGTTGCTGTTATTGTAATTCAGAATTTGGTCTGTGTGGGTCTGTTTCCTATATACTTGAGTTTCTAGTTTTCCTGTGTCAGTTCTAGTGATTAATATATCCAAGAATGGTAGTTTGTTGTTTGCCTCCTGTTCCATTGTGAACTTGATGTCATCGAAGACGTTGTTGATCAGTTTGTAAGTGTTTTATAGCTCATTCTTTTTGACGATAACGAATGTGTCGTCTCCGAAGCGAATCCACATTTTTGGCTTGATCACTGGTAATATCGCGGCTTCTAGTCATTGCATCATTGCTTCCGCGATCAGTCTTGATATTGGTGACCCCATTGGTGTCCCTTTCGTTTGTATGTAGATTTTGTTGTTGAATTGAAAATATCTTGTTAGGCATAAGTCGATGAGTTCTAGTAGACTTTGACTTTGAAGCTTTGTGTACTTGGTGAGATTTGTGTCGTTGGCGAGGAGCAGGGATATAGTTTCTTTTGCTAACCTTGGTTCAATTGAGGTGAATAATGTTGTTACATCGAAGGATACCATCGGTTCGTCGTTGTTGATTTGAATGTCCTTAATTCGGTCCAGGAATTGTGAAGAGGATTTGATGGAGTGGTTGGATGAATCGACTGAATGTTTCAGTATTCGTGAAATTTCTTTTGATAAATTGTATGTTGGCGTTTTGGGCAGTGCTACAATTGGACGTAGTGGAATGTTGATACCTTGACATGGTGGTTGGGCTTGCCTATCGTGATGAAGCAACTGAGCTATACTGGCTGGAACAACCGTTCTTCAAGGTCCTACCATCCCAGACAGGTCGGTTGAAGAGCAGTAAGACTAAAAGCAACAAATCCAAGGTCCGAAGGCGAAGTCGTACTGTTGACTGTACAGAGGTGTGAGAGCAGTAAGGTGTTTCCTTCATACAACCAGCATGACAGCGATGCTGCCTTCCCACAAGGAGGAGTACCGTGGGGTAAGAAAAGGTCGACCCTAAAAATGCACACCTCGCCTTATCCCGCGAGTATCCGTCTCCGGCGGTAAGGTCTCAACAATTACGGAGCTAACACAAAAATTACTCATAAGAAAGTCGTGTGTGACCGACCTCAAGCAGCTGTACTTGGGCTCTGCGGTCACGCTCTCAGGTCACTAAGACCACCTCTAATCCAATTTCCTTTTCAGGTACCTCCTCCAGTATTTTCGGTCTGCCGTAGAATCGGGAGAGTACTGGTCCATTCGATTTCATTCTCCATTGATCTTGTTTTGTTATTCCTCCTGCTTTGACTAGCTTGTTTATTGTCTTTGAAATTCTGTTGTCTAATTTTTTGACAGGATTTATATCTATCCGTTTGTATGTGTTCTTATCTTCAAGTAGTTGTTCGGCTTTTTGAGGTATTCCTCCTTGTTCACTCATTAGAGTATAAGCGTCTCAGTGTTGATCTTCTAATGGCTTACAGTATCTTTAACACTTTCCCTTAAACAATCTACTTAAGTTTAACTCCAACACAAACCTAAAGTGTAACATCCAGAAACTAGAGACGCAACACAGCAGAACGGACTGTAGACACAATTTCTACTACTTAAGAGTTGTCATATGCTGGAATTCGCTACCGGATGAGCTAGTCCAAGCGACTTTCTAGGAGCCCTTTAGGAGGAAACTTGATGTATTCTTAAGGACTAAGGATACTATCCATGATTTACCAATTTCTTTTTCCTCCGTTATCGTTCCTGCCTGAAGGTATTGATGATCCACTGCTACTAGACACGGAAGCCCGTTAAGTGAAAGCTTCTATTTCATCCACAACCGCTTGGACCATTTATTCTTAACAGTGAGAAGTCAGAATTCAAGAGGAATTCATTTGGGTTTGTATAGCACACTATTTTATGAGATAAAATATATATTGTTTTCATCACAAATTGAAGTCATGGGTCAATTTTATGAAGATGAATAACAGAATCGTAACACAAACGGTTTGTAATGAAAAAATCGACCGTTGTTGTTGGAATGCACTAATGCCTAGGTTAAATTCCTGTGTGGGCTTACCATTTTAAGTGAGTTCGGTTAAGCGGTGTAATTTCTTCTTATTCGTAGTCAGTTAAGTTTGAAGCTCCATTTGCAATGGCAGATTAGCTTCTTAAATGGCTAAGATGAAAAAAGCATCATTACGATCCACCGTTGGGAAATCAGTTATATAGCTTGTGCGATGTATCACAGACAGTAATATATACAATATTGATAATCATTTCCATTCATCTATAGATATCAAAATGATGCTTTCGTCGACGGACCAGTGTTAACCCACTTTTTATGCGCAACTGTGCTGTCGTTCCTTAACAGTTATACGTTTTTTTCATAGCAAACTTAGTTGTCCTAGCGAATTCGACATTAGCTTGACTGTTAGCGATCAAGAGCATTTATCTCAGGATAGTAAATGCTTTAATACTCGATTTCACCGCATCACAAGGGAGTTTTGTGGTTGTCTATGTATCGTTAAAATGTTATGAGGAGAAATGTGCAATTGTAGGGTTTTTCATAATTTCAGGCATCCATGGATTAATGGTTTTTGTGCTGACAGGTGTTTAAACAGTGCTTTATATGCTTTTATTACTCAACCAAAGTTTATTCCCACTATGCTTAGCTCAATGCACTCGTTATCTTATCACTCTAAAGTAGGTCTGAAGTGCATCATGTCAATCTGTAAAATAAGTATGTATGTATGAATCGTTCGGCTCTACTCATCTACTACTTTTACTGAATTTGTTCACTTAGAGTAAGGGGAGAGGTAGCTCTTCTAAACTTTTGAGCTGTTAAAAGTTGAGCTACTTGTGAAGCCTAATTATATAAAATGGTATGTTCTTGAACTATTCAGTAAAAATTTCAGCTTTAGTGCAACTTAATTCATAGAAAGGCACTCACTTACTACTAAGTGAAAACAACCAGGTTCTAGTTTATCGCTGACCCGGTTCACTGAAACTTTTCCCGATCATTACATTTGCTCGTTACGCAGCGTATGCTAGTGCTCTTATAAAGCTAGCCAGTATGAATTTTGTGGATCAATGTGATGGATAATACCGACTATTATGCCAGCTAACGGTAGTCGTCAATCTGATTTTTATTAGTAGACATATTTATCGGAATAATTTTACCATTAGAAATCATTCTTGGCTGTTGTATCACTTCCAGTTGTCCTTGCTAGTTTAGACCTATCCAAAACCGTAGTCACTTCTTATTCATTCAGCTTATGTCTTGGCTCATATCATGGTTCCTGTCTCCCCAAATTGTATCAAGTTCACTTTTTATTGGCGAATCTTCGAATTACATGTCTTCATGAAGTAACTTTTTTCCTTCGTGACAGACTGCTTTTAAACTTATATGCCACCAACGAGAATATTATGATGGAGGATGTCCAGGAACATAAAAGGGAGCGCGGAGAGAAAGTTCACCGAAAAAAGAAGAGTCGACATTATGAGGTTACTGATCAAACTGCCAGTCGCTTCCTCAATCATTTTTCGGATAACAGATATGAAAATGATAACCAAGATAACGACTGTCATGACGCCAAGACCACTGAAGGTTATGCTGATTTTAGTGCTACCAGAAGACCTTACTCTTCAAGTCGAGTTGTTTATAGGGACAGTGTAGAGAAGACATACCCAAACGAAAAAGCAGAACGACTTAAGTCGAAGAAAAAATCACAGAGACATGAAAATGTGTTGAATATGGCTGGTATGGGACACAAATATTCTGTCGATCACTATCAAGAAAGTATCCATAGTTATGTTAGTGACAATGAAAATCAGTACAGAAGTCGCACAGGTTATCGAATTTCTCAAAATCAAGTACCATATCATCAAGATGAGGAAAGTGGAGTGCCTGGTTCTATTTGTTATGATGGCTCAGTACCATCTTCTCTTTCAGGCAGCATCCCCATTTCTAATGGTCGTTCTGAGGAACGTCGAGAATCTTCCATGGGTTTACCCACTAATCTACACTCTGAATCCTATTCGAGTTACGAACAACGCTTGCTAGATGATGGACATTCCAATGCATTTGTTGGGAGTGGACGGGAATTTTGGAATCCTGAATTCAGACAAGGCCAGCATGAACTTGTACCTCATCAAAATCTACCTGAGGTTTCGCCAACGAAAAACGTGTTATCAAAATTATTCGCTTCTTTTAGGCGACGCAAGCCGAAAGCTCATGTGTCACAAATTACCAAGCCGTCTGATAGTTCTACATCAGTTTGCGTTATTATGCTTGATGGTGAGGAGCTTGTTTTTCAGTTGAGTCGTGATGATATTGGTCAAGTTCTTTTCGATCAGGTGTGTCAGAACTTAGATCTTTATGAAGCTGACTACTTTGGACTGACGTTCGTCAGTAACAAAATACGTACATGGGTGAGTTTTTTAGTAATTATATTTCATCTTCATACTCTGGATACCATTGTATTAATAAATAACCAATCTTTGTAAAATTTGTAAACACGACCTCAAGTGTTCACAACAAATGTTAATCAGTATTAGTATTTTATAACAGTCAAGCCCGCAAATTACCCCTAGTGGATTATTTGGTTAGGTGATTTGTTTGTAGTGCCAAATAATATTCCTTCATTTGCTGTATCAAAACCGTTTTATAACCATTTTTGGTATCAGTAATGATATCATAAGATACCTGTAACTATGCTTTCATTTCACAATTCTTTAAGTCACATTTTTGTTATATAAAATACCATATTAAGTGCTACTATGCCGATATTGTATTCATTTGTGTAGGCACGATCATCTATAACCGAAATCCGAGGTCTGTTTTCCATTATCAATCTGGTTTATCTATTAGAAAACTGAGTCGTTTAGGTGGCCGATGGGGACTCGTTGGTCGCAGGACAGATAACGGGGAACGTCTACTGCAACTATGCACAGACCACAACCTGTTTCTGGCTAGCACTAACTTTCGGCACAGTTATCGCCGATGTGCCACCTGGCGTCCCCATTCTGCATCTCAAGCCTGGACTCAGATTGATCACATCGCGATCAGCTACCGCTGGCGCGGTTGTGTACAAGACTGCCGCTCCTTTTGGAGTACCTATCTGGAATCTGATCATGCTCTGGTTTGCGCCAATCTTACCTTACTTTTCAGTGGACAACGAAGTGACCGCCACCAAAGGATTGATGTTAGCAAGCTGGCTGCAACTTCTGTTGCTAGTAAGTACCGAACCGAGCTAGCTTCTAGGCTAGCTACTATTCCACCGAAAAGTATAGATGAGCATTGGTTGCAATTGCATGACGCCATGAAAATGGCGGGTACAGTCTGTTGTGGGTTTGCGAAACGTCCCGCTTACAAGCACTGGGTTTCTTTTGGTTCCTTACAACTGATTGAAGCCCGTCGGTCTACTCCGGGTGACCGTGAGTTTGACCACAGACGAAGGATGTTACGTACTGAAATCGGGCAAAGCTTGCGTAAGGACCGAGAAGCCTGGTGGTCGGAGCGTGCCAGTGAGTTGGGAGCAGCAGCTGCATCTGGTAATTACCGGAAGCTCTTCCAACTCATCCGAGCCACTGGCAGCAAGAAGTTTGGTGTGAGCGAAATAATCTGCGGGGATGACGGAACGCCAATCACTAACATCCATCGACGTCTTGGACGATGGGCAGAATTCTTTGAAGGGCAGTTCAACTGGCCTGCTGCTCCGGCAACATCGGTCAGACTGTCCTGCCCTCCATGGCCGGTGACGACTGATCCACCAAATGAGGCGGAAGTCCGCAAGGAACTCCAACTCTTGAAACGTTACAAATCACTGGGCCCAGATGACTTACCTCCGGCTCTTTTTAAAGATGGTGGTGACTTTCTGACTAAGGGACTGACGACGTTGTTTACAAAGATCTGGGAACTAGAGAGTGTACCAACGTCATGGAATGAGTCGATAGTTGTCCCTATCTTTAAAAAGGGTTCATGTCGTTTGTGTAACTACTATCGGGGGATAAGTCTACTTCCGATTGCGTCCAAGCTATTGGCTTCCGTCATACTTCGTAGGTTGTTCAGAACCCGAGAAGGATTGACTCGCGAGGAGCAGGCTGGGTTTCGTTCTGGTCGAGGATGTATTGATCATATCTTCACCCTCCGCCAAGTGTTAGAACACCGCCATACTTATCAAAGGCCAACAATCGTAGTGTTTCTTGATATCAGGGCTGCCTTCGATTCGTTGGACAGAACTGTTCTCTGGGATTGTCTATTGAAGAAGGGTGTGCCTGGGAAGTTTATTAACATCCTAAAAGCTTTATACACAAACACCTCAGGCAGAGTGAGGGCATACAATCACCTTTCTCCACTATTCCATTCGAGCAGTGGGGTTAGGCAGGGTTGCCCAATCTCACCATTCCTCTTCAACTTTGCCATCGATGACATTCTGGAAACAACTCTGATGGATGTAAGTAATGGTGGTGTGGATCTGTTGCCTGGAGAAAGACTTCTCGACCTTGAGTATGCGGATGATATTGTCTTACTGTGCGAGAATGCCCAAGCCATGCAATCCGCACTTAATCAGTTGGCAATCAGTGTCCGTAGGTATGGTATGTGCTTTGCACCTTCGAAGTGCAAAGTTCTTCTACAAGACTGGCAGGATTCTAATCCTGTACTCACTCTGGATGGTGAGCAGATTGAAGTAGTCGAGAAGTTCGTGTATCTAGGTAGCTGCATAAGTGCTGGTGGTGGTGTGAGTGATGAGATCAATGCACGTATAGTGAAAGCCAGAGCGACTTATGCCAATCTGGGCCATCTTTGGCGCCTTCGTGATGTTAGTCTGGCTGTAAAAGGTCGGATCTACAACGCGACGGTGAGGGCAGTTTTGCTCTATGGTTGTGAAACCTGGCCTCTCCGAGTTGAGGATGTTAGACGACTCTCTGTGTTCGATCATCGCTGTCTCCGAAGGATTCCTGGCATCCAGTGGCAACACCATGTCAGTAATGCAGAGGTTCGGCATCGAGTGTTCGGTCACAGAGACGATAATGAAATTGGTGTCACCATCTTGAAACACCGACTTCGGTGGCTTGGACATGTTCTACGAATGTCGTCCCAGAGAATTCCACGTCGTGCATTATTTGCCGACTGGTGGTCAGTATATGACATGGTGTCGTGGTATGTAAGAAAGCTGCAAAGGGCTAGCCTCTGTTGGTCCTTCACGACTCCCTGGTTGGGGTCCGAGAGACGGTGTAACGCAGTGGCTAGAGACGTTATCAGATATGGCTAAGAATAGAAGCCAGTGGCAATCGTGCTGTAACCTCTTACTTTCTCCATAAAAAGTGGTTGTATCTTCCTTAACTGAAAGATCTCTTCTGATTGTACCTTTCTGTTTCCCCCACCATTGTTCTCTCTCTCTCCCTTTCTTTTTATAATTCCCCACGTTCATTACTTTTTTTTTCTTCTTTTTTTTCTCTTTTCTCCTTCTCTTCAAATTATCATTGTTTTGTGTGGCGCATATATATTTGGTGCCCCTCTGTACCAATATTTATGTGTTCAAATAAATAAATAATAAATTAGAAAACTGATAAGACCTATAGCTAGTGTTCAAACTAGATAAACGAAATTGATTTGATCACTTTTGCGTCGAAATGCTTAGAAGTATTATGAATAACTAGCGTGGTATATATATTTCCCTTCTTTTTTCAGTTTTGGCTGGATTTACAAACCAAGATTGGAAAACAGTTGCGAGGTAAGTTGTATTCTAGTAATCTCTTACACATTAGTCGCTAGTTAATTTCATTCCGAAAAGCTTTAAATCGTATTTTCTAATGGATACAGCTTTAATAGAGACTATCATCGAAAACTTCACCGCATTTTTAAACTTTTTCACTTCATAAGAAACTGTATGTTGCAGTTTTAAGTTTTGGATGATGTTATGTAGGTTGGCTTTGTACAAACTAATTACCTGAATCTCAAATATTACTCTATCGTTCGTTATTTGATGATCAATTGTTTGTTGCCTTTATGCTCATTTATTTTTAAGTAAACAGAATATACCAATTGAGGTATGAAATAAGAAAGATTGGTTCAGCGAAGAGTTCTCTTTTCGTCGAATTCATTTTCAAAGACGTACAATCGTAAATATATATACTCTTTTTTCAGGATAATAATAATCACAATAATAATGATAATAAAATTCCGTTAAACATGTTAACAATGAGGTAGGATAAACAAAGGTTTCAAAACATTTTTTTATCACGGAAACTAACAATAGTTTATTGTTAAGGACTTGAATATCAGTCGTGAAGATAAATAGGAAATTATAATTAAGAAGGGATGGCTTAGCATAGTAGGACAAAATGTTAAAATTAAGATGAAATGTAATCAGGAGGATCCCAGAAACAGAAATAAACCAGTTGGGGGGGGGGTAAAATGTCTATGGAGAAGATAGAAGAGGAAGTAGATGACTGTAAAGGAAGAAAAGTACGAGGAAGGAAGATAATTATGAGACATTAAGACCATGGTAAAAAAAAGTGGTTGTACCGTTTCCTTTCAGTTTTTCCAGATGGGTAGCCATTGCTTCGACAATGTTAAGATGCAATATCACAGCCTTTGGGAATCTCAGACTCAGAATCATCAAGGCATCCTTCAAAACGAAGAGGGAGGAAATCACACTGAATGTTATCCAACGCTATGTACCCACAAATGATGGCAATGAAGACGATAAAAATCGGTCTCATGAGAGGCTGCAATCAATCACAGCAAAGTGCTCAGGAAAGGACCTGACCGTCTTGATGGAAAACCTAAACGTCAAAGTCAGAATGGACAACATCGTGTATGGAGGTTAATGACAGATTTGCAATTTTATGTGCATTCAACAAAGTGGTTATATATGGCACTATATTCCCTCACAAACACATACACAAAGCTACATGGGTCTCACCGGGCCACACTACAGGGAATCAAATCGATCATATTTGCATCACTAAAGAATTCAGAAGGTCAATAGAAGAGGTGAGAACCAAGAGAAGAGCTGACATAGCTTCAGATCACCACCAACTGGTGGTTGCTAAGATAAATCTAAAGCTAAAGAAGCACTGGACAATTGGGTAAACTGCATTACAAAGGTTCATTACAAACTTTCTTCGAGACACTGACAAGCTCATCAAATTCAAGATAGCTTTCAGCGGCAAATTCCAAGCATTACAAGATCGACTCATAGAAGAAACTACTATGGAGGATAGTTGTGAAATGATCGAAGAAGCACTGACTTCAACATGTCAGGAGGTCCTGGGCCGAAAGAAGCATCATCACAAGGAATGGATCTCTATTGGAATCCTGGACAAGACTCAAGAAAGGAAGAACAGGAAGACAGCAACTGACAACTGCCGAACAAGAGCAGAGAAGGTCAAGGCACACGCCGAATACACAGAAACATACAAGCAAGTGAAGAGGAGCATTGGAGCTGACAAGCAGAAATGCTTGGAAGAGCCAGCAGCGACAGCAGGAATAGCTTCAAGAAAAGGGAATATGAAACAACTATGTGATATAACGAAGAAACTGTCAGGGAAATGTAGTAAACCGGAGAGACCAGTTAAGAACAAGGCAAGCCAATCACTGAGATTCAAGAACAGAGGAAAAAAGGGATAGAGAACGTTGAAGAACTATTGAATAGACCAGCTCAACTGAGCCCACCGGACATCGAAGAAGCACACACAAATCTTCTTATAGATGCTATTTCACCAACGATCGAAGAAATCAGGATAGCCACCAGATAAATCAAAAGTGGTAAAGCAGTAGGACCTGACCATCTGAAGCACTGAAGTCAGACATAAAAGCAACTGCAAACATGCTCCACGTTCTGTTCAGGAAAATTTTGGAGGAGGAACGAATGCCGACAGACTAAAGAAAAGGATACCCTACCAAGATACCAAAGAAAGGAAATCTAAGCAAATGTGAAAACTACAGAGGCATCACACTACTGTAGTGAACGAGAACACATAACGGGACAACCGAATGTATTCGAACACAAAATTACAGAACGTCATAGTAAAATCTAAGAACCATACTGTAAATACTTCATTTGCAAAATGTCAATTAATCTTCTCAGGCTTCATTGCTCTTTCGTTTCCACACCAATCATTCTTTGTTCTCGTTCTCTTTTCTTTGATCTTCTGTTCCATGCATTTCACTTTCGACTGATGACATACTACTTATATCTGTTGACATCAGTAGCACACACCACACTACTATCGGTTTTCAACAGTGTTCTTGAACCTGACGAAAAATTCAGTAGACGCCCAACTTCGAGATCAACAGATCGAATTACGTAAGGACCGGTCGTGTACAGATCAAATCGCGACAATACGGATCGTCGTTGAACAATCAATTGTATTGAGTTCACCACTTTACATCAACTTCCTCGACTATGAGAAAGCGTTTGACAGTGTGGATAGAAGAATCTTGTGGAACCTTCTTCGACACTATGGTTTACCTGAGATCGTCAATATCATACGGAATTCATATGACGGACTGCATTGCAGAGTCATGCATGGAGAACAGTAGACAGACGCATTCCAAGTAAGGACCAGAGTTCGACAAAGCTGCTTACTCTGATCCTTTCTCTTCCTTTTGGTGGTTGACTGGATTATGAAGACTTTCACAACTCAAGGGAAGCACGAAATACAATCGGCGTCTTGGATGCAACTAGACGATTTGGACTTCACAAATGACCTTGCTCTTCTATCCCATACACAGCCAGTGTAACAGTAGCCTCTGCAGCACTAGGCCTCAACATACACAAGGGAAAAAGCAAGATCCTCAAATACAATACGAAGAACACCAATTTAATTGCACTTGATGGAGAAACTGTGGAAGAGGTGGAAACTTTCACATACGTGATCAGCATCATCGATGGACCTTGTGGATCTGATTCAGACGTAAGGGAAAGGATTAACAAAGCAGGGGCATCATTCCTACAGTTGAAGAACATATAGAACTCAAAATAACTGTCAACCAACATCAAAGTCAGAATTTTCAATACGAGGCAGACATCAAAGGCATGGATAGCAAGTGAAAACTACTGGGAAGAATTGCCCAGAGCCGAGTTGGTTAGAGAATCCTGTTGGGCGGCCTATGCTTCTCCACTAGGGGTAACAGGCGTAAATAAGTTAGTAAGCCACAAATAAAACTTTCACATTTTATAATTTTTGGAAAGCATTCGTTTGGCTCATACCATGTGATACGTTTTGAATCAATAAAAGACAACCATTTTACTCGTTTTCTAACCGAGGTTAGAAACTGATTTAGAAATATTTAATTATTGCTACTCAGAAGTACGATTGTATTTTATGTGATGGTAAGGTAATATTTTCGGTTTGAATTGAGTTGTTTCCATTGAAATGTCACGTAATATCACGGTTATATGGCTTAACTATCATTCAACGGATAAAGGACCTAACTTACTGTCAGTCAGTCAGTCAGTCAGTCAGTCAGTCAGTCAGTCAGTCAGTCAGTCAGTCAGTCAGTCAGTCAGTCAGTCAGCTGCAACGTAGGACCAGGCACGTATATGCATCGGTCCAAGTTGCCATACCGCATTAGCACAACAAGATGAACACCGGATTCATAGGAGTAGTTAATTCAGTGGTGGTAATATATAGAAGAAAGATTGTGTATAAGGAGATAGTACAGGAAGATAGAATTAGTTCGTAGACAGATATGAAGCGATTTTAATCTCTTAATTTAAGGAAGACAGAGAGTGTATACACCGACGCCATTGTGATCGATTCTGAGCCATGTCACCAAGAGTCTCCAACCATTGGTTACGATAGTCACGCCGACCCCAACCAGGCAGTCTGAATCTCCCAACATGGCTCAGACCAGAAGTTGGTGACTTCAAGCACTGATGCCACGTTTTGGTTAAGCCGCACCTAACTTTCTTTCAATCATCCCTAACACCGGTTAGCATTGCGCGTTATGGTAATCGGTGTTCAGGCAACACGCAACACGTGGCCCAACCATCTCAGTCGATGAAGATTCATAACCTCATCAACTGATTTATCTTCATTCCCTAATACCTTGCGTCTAACCTCACTATTACTTACCCGGTGATCCCAGAAGATGCGAGCAATATTTCTAAGGCACCTGTGGTCAAATACTAGTAACTTACGAATATCTTCCACTCTTAAAGGCCATGCTTCGCAGCCGTATAGAAGGACGGAACGAACTGCCGCGCAGTATACTCGGCCCTTAATTGATAGACGGATATCTCGCCTTCGCCATAGGTGACGTAACTTGGTAAAGGCCGAACAAGCTTTTCGAATCCGTGCTGAGATTTCGTCAGACACCAACCCATTTGGGCTGATCAGACTTCCAAGATAAGTGAAGTTGTCAACGCGTTCGACTACTTCACTCCCTATCCTTAGTTCAGGTGTTGACGCAGAACAGTCCTGAAGCAACAACTTGTATTTAGAGGGAGAGAAGTGCATCCCAAACATTCTGGCATTGTTGCTCAGTGCTACCAAAAGACTCTGCATTTCATCAGCGTCTCCACCAAACAGGACTATGTCATCTGCGTATTCTAAGTCAATAAGTGGACCTTCTGGTAGGAGATCAATACCCGAGAATTCAGTCGATGAGAGCGTTATTTCCATCAGGATGTCTATGATAAAGTTAAACAAAAAAGGAGAAAGTGGACAGCCTTGACGGACGCCACTTGAGGTTGCAAAAGCAGATGACAGTTCGCCATAGGCTCTGACCCGACTAGTAGTGTTCGAGTAAAGAGCCTTCACAAGGTTTATGTACTTCTGAGGTACGCCTTTCAATGACTGTGTGATTTATCTAATTAATTTATGGGATACTGTTTTTATTTTTGTAGTTTAATATCTACATTTATACATCCTAATATTTTTTGCAATTTTTTTTCATTAGATAACGAGCAACGGTTATTTTATTTTCAAGTTAAATTCTACCCTCCTGAGCCATCCTTGTTGCAAGAAGAGTTGACACGCTATCAGCTTACTTTACAAATTCGACAAGATATTTACACTGGGAAACTTCCTTGTTCGTGGGTTACACAAGCATTATTAGGTTCATTTATGGTACAGGCAGAATTAGGCGATTTCGATCCGGATAAACATATTGGGTTGGATTATTTAAATGAATTTGAGTTTGTACCATCACCTACACCCCAATTGTTGAAAAAAATTGTGGAATTGCATAAAACACATACGTGAGTAGTTTTTCTTGTCTAGAAAAATATGTAAATTCATATTTGATTTCTTTGGTCATGACAAGTATTCATAATCTAAATCACTCAGTCACCTGGTGATGATGATGACATCGCTGAGCTGTCGCCCAAGATTGTGAGCTATTTAAACTGAACGCTGCTATCACTCAGGTGTTACTGCATTCTTATTATTCCTTACCTTAAATGAATTTGCCTCAATTTCTTGCCGTTAAACTTAACTGTCTGAACAAATAATACTGGTTTATTTTAATTTGTTTGGGTTTAAGTTTTTATGTATGTAAATAGTGACCAAGGGAATATAGTAGAGAAACCTTTAGGTGTTTACGTTACTACAGTTTTACTAACGTACAGTGTTTAAAATGATCGTTTCAACAGTTTATTTTGTATAAGAAGTGACTACTTGTATCCATATAATGTCTTGGAACCCACGACTAGCATACATGATTACTTATCGTTATATGATCCTCGTGGGACGTAAGTAACATTATTTTAAATCTTATGATTGCCTTTGGAGCCATTCAGCTTGGTTATGAACCACGGGAACTATAACGTTTCAAAAAGTTTAGTTTGCTAGTGAAGGTGTTCCTTATTTTGACATTTAAGTGATTGGATTTTATTAAAACTCTCCGTATCTAGAAGAAACTTGGTTTGTTTTCAAACTACTGAGATTGCACAACTAAATATCGAAATTTACTGATCAAAGATTTCTTGTTTCCAGCTTAAGTACTACAGGTAACGGTGATCTCAATTAGAAATCTCAAGCTGAAACATTGATCTTTGTTTCCACTTAATTCAATTCCTTGCCGTTATATTCAGTCAGTCAGTCAGTAACAACGTGGAACTTCGTACGTACGTACATCAGTTCGAGTTGCCATACCACATTAGCACAGAGATTCAGTTATCGATTCAAATCCCATAGTGGTAGAGGTACTGAAAGCATAAGTAGAGATAGGGCACATTAAGGTTTGATGATGTTATTAAAGGAGTATAGTCCAGTGGAATAAATTGGGAAAGAAAATAAAGGACATGGGGAATTCAGAATATTAGAGTTTGAGAGAACACAAAGAGTGGATGCACCTGCGCCATTGCAAACGATTTTGAGCCATGTCATTCAAGGTCTCTAACCATCGGTTGCTATCGTCTCGCGGTCCCCAACCAGGTAGTCTACACCTACCAACATGACTCAGTCCACTTGTCAGTGACTTCATGGATTTGTGCCATGTTTTGGTCTGGCCGCCCCTAGCTTTCTTCCAACCTACTCCTACACCATAAAACATAGCACGTCGGGGCAGTCGGTGGTCGGGCATGCGCAACACATGTCCCAGCCATCTCAAATGATTGAGTTTCACTACTTCCTCAATTGATTTTCCATCCTTACCTAGTACCCGTTTCCTAACAACTGAGTTACTTATTCGGTGGTCCCAGGATATACGAGCAATGTTTCGAAGACATCTATGGTCAAATACTAGTAACCTACGAATATCCTCTACTCTTACCGGCCATGTTTCACTGCCATAAAGTAGGACGGAACGAACTGCTGCGCAGTAAACACGTCCTTTGGTTGATAGACGGATATCTCGCCTACGCCACAAATGACGCAAGTTGGCAAAAGCTAGTCGAGCCTTTTGTATCCGTGCTGAGATTTCGTCACACACCAAACCACAAGGGCTGATGAGACTTCCAAGATAAGTGAAGCGGTTGACACGCTCAACTACTTCACTCCCTATCACTAGTTCGGGTGTCGACGTAACCCAATCCTGAAGTAACATTTTGCATTTCGAGGGAGAGAATCGCATGCCGAACAGGCTTGCATTGTTGCTTAGAGTGGTCAGCAGACTCTGCATTCTGTTAGCGTCTTCACTAAATAGAACTATGTCATCGGCATATTCTAAGTCAACAAGTGGATCTCCCGGTAGAAGTTCAACTCCTGGAAATTTAGATGAGAAAAGCGTTATTTCTAAAAGCACGTCAACAACAAAGTTAAACAAGAATGGAGAGAGTGGACAGCCCTGACGAACACCACTTGAGGTAATCAATTCTGATGACAGTTCACCATAAGCTCTCACTCGACCAGTTGTGTTCGAGTAGAGAGCCTTTATAAGGTTGACGTACTTCTTTGGTACTCCCTTCAGTGACAAACATTGCCATAGAACCTTACGATCAACAGAGTCAAATGCCGCCTTAAGGTCGAGAAATACTACCATTGTGGGGTGTCTGAATGTGTATCTATGTTCTAGGACCTGACGTAATGTGAATATTTGATCAATAAAACCACGTCCAGGTCGAAAACCAGCCTGGTTTTCTCTAGTCTGCTCTTCACGAGCTTTGGTTAGACGTCGAAGTATTATTGAAGCTAATATTTTAGACACTATATTAGTCAAACTAATTCCTCTGTGATTGTCACAGGAGGACTTTTGTCCTTTCTTATAGACTGGCACAATCAGTGATTGAGACCAGTCAGATGGGATTACGTCCAGTTCCCAGATTCTACCTAAGACCTCAGTCAATCTCGCTGCTAATACTGGACCGCCATCCTTAAAAATCTCAGGGGTAAACCTGTCAGGGCCTGCTGCTCTCCCACGCTTCAGATTTCCTATAGCTTTTTCAACTTCGTAAAGAGTCGGAGGACTTACATCAACTTGTCATTCAGGTCGGCTGGAGATCGTGGGAAACCGAAGTGTGGCTGAAGGCCAGTTGAACTGATCCCTAAATTATTCTGCCCATCGATCCAATCTCCTGGATTGAGAATGAATAATATGTCCATCTTTCTCTGCGATTGTTTCGCTAACAGTTGGGTTCCTAATACCGGTTTCCTTAACAAGTCTGAACAATTGCCTGCTGTTACCTATTGCCGCTGCCTTTTCCATCTCTCTTGCTTTCGCTACCCACCACTGTTCACGATCTTTGCGTAGGCTTCTAGTCAGCTTACGCTTAAGCTGACTCCGCTCTTCGTTATGTTCAGAGCCAGATGGAATGAGTTTTCGAGCATCTATCAGTGCGGTAGATGCTGCTGAGATCCAGTGTTTCTCCCTAACCTTATGGTTTACCGTACTTGCAGACATCACTGCTGTTTCTACAGCTTTTCGGATGTCATTCCATGCTGCCTCGGGGTGGGTATCACTTACATGGCTGCCTAACTGTTTTTCTAGATGTTCCTGAAATATACTCTTAGCTTGACTATCATTAAGTAGGACCCTAAGGGGTTTCCTTGCAGCATGTTTCCTACGTCCAGTAAGACGTAGACAGATACGCGCTCGCACTAGAGCATGATCTGAGTCTAAGCATGTGCTCCAGAATGAGCGACAGTCTTCTATCGAGCCCCTCCATCGGTGGCTGATAGCGATGTGATCTATTTGGGTCCAGCGTTGAAACGAATTAGGGGGCTGCCATGTTAAAAGATGTTTTTCCTTATGCTTAAAGTTAGTGTTTGCAAGAAACAGGCGGTTATATGAGCATAGCTGCAACAGGTGGTCGCCGTTATCTGTTCTTTGAGCCACGGCACCATAAGTGTCTTTCCTTTTCGCTTAGTTTACCTACTTGAGCATTAAAGTCACTAGCCACTATTACTACATCTGAACGCCTAGCTTTTCGGAGAAGGTCGGAAAGCTTTCTGTAAAACGCATCTTTTACATCATCTGAGCTGCAGTCAGTGGGAGAGTAGGCAGAGACGACCAAGAGGCAACGACGAGTGTCCCTATCTTTTCGAGTCCTTACTGTTCCGTTTAGTCGGACAGCACACAAACGACTGTCTACTGGGATCCAGTCTAAGAGAGCTAGTTCTGCCCTAGGACTCAATGCTATACCTACGCCAGCGAGGCCACGGGATGCAGCATCAGGGCTTCCAGATACACGAAGCGTAAATCGAGTTGGTTCGTTACTTTGACATGGTGCAGTCAAATGAATGACACTACTAGGATCCTGTGTGCGCGTTTCGGAGACGCAGCACACATCGATGGAGCGAGATTCTAAAGTCTTAGCTAAGGAAGCCTGTTGTCCTATTTGGCTCAGTGTTCGGATGTTGAAAGCTCCTACGTGTAGTTTGGAGCGTGGTTTCAGGAGACCAGGAATAACATTCCGCGTACTCGAATCGTTTGCACTAGCGGGGCGAGGTGATAAAGGTACGTGGGAAGGGTTAGTCGTGGAGATAAGAGAGTTATTAGGAGGTGTAGGAAGGATTTGAATGTGACCAACTTGGTCTCGTGTGCTGTTACGGGTATGAGGGCTGATATCACTTCCCGGTTGCCCACACCGTGGAAGGGTATTTCTTGAGGGACCTGAAAAGGAAATCGGATTAGTGTTGGTCTTAGCGACCTGAGTGCGTGACCGCAGAGCCCAAGGGACAACTGCTTGAGGCCGGTCGCGCACGGCCTTTTTGTGGGAGGTTTTTTTAATGTGTTAGCTCCGTTCTTCAAAGGGCCTTACCGCCGGAGACGGAAATCCGTGGGGTAAGGTGAGGTGTGACATTTTTAGGGTCAACCTTTTCTAACCCCTTCCTTCCTTGTGAGAAGGCAGCATCGCTGCAGATGCTGGTTGTCCGAGGGAAACACCTTACTGCTGTCACACCTCTGTACAGTCAGCAGTACGACTTCGCTCTCAGACCTTGAGTTGCTGCTTTTAGTCTTACCGTTCTCCAATCGACCTGCCTGGCATGGTAGAACCTGCAGGAACTTGAGTTCCAGCCAATATAGCTCGGTTGGGTCATCACGATAGGCAAGCCCGACCACCACGTCAAGGTAGCAGCTACGGTCGGCCGTTATATTACGAGTTATGATGACCAAAAGTTTTCATTCATAGCTTTCATCAGTTTTATTGATTGATATTTGTGCTTGCAGTTTTTTATTTATCAACTGCGTCCGATGTACAGTTGTGTCGGATCCTACGTTGGTCGTAACTGACTGGAAGCTTTTAGGTTCCCAAAACAGCATCACTGTTTCAATTGTCAGCCACTGTTTAATGTATTCTAATTATTTGTGTTGAAAATT